AAAGTTGAAATTTTTGTCTATGATGAATCAGTTGGCTTGGCCAGATTGGCTTTCTTCGCAAATTCCGACAAATCTGTCAAAAAAAAAACTTAATTTGTTTCAGCCGAAAAATGAAACAGAATGGTACCATTGTGGAGATACTTGGAACTTACCACTTTTTCGCTAACTTTAGCGCCCAGGTTTTTGTAGAAAGCCGAGGCTTTGTCGATATCGGAAGTTGCAATAGAAACGTGACTCAAACGACCGAGAAGTGAAGTAGCATTCTGGAAGCACATCATTTGCGTCAGCTTTTTCCACTAATGCTAAAATTTCTTGCTTCTCATCTCCTGGATATCATATGATTCAATACACTTTATACGCCGATGTCTTTCACAGCTGACGTAATGCATGTGAATTTATAAGATTTGTGTGTATATCAATGTTGTTAAAAAGCATGGCATTTTTAAAACAGGGTATAAGTAGTTGCTGCAAAACTGGCAGTTTTTTTGGATGGAAAACTGCCAAATAAAAAAGTTGAATCGAACAAAATCTTTCATCACTAGCAATTTATGCAAAGTTATCTGAATCGCTATATGGAATTATGTGAATGAGAGAGGTACAAACCGGAGAAGAATGGAAAAGTTGCCAGTTGCATTAGTGGCGACAGCAAACGCGACAATGAAACGACAACAGCTGTAACAACTGTGCAAGTGTAAGAGCGCCCTAGCACGTGATTGACTGAATAATATGTTCAAATTAAGAAATTTGCATTTTAAATGAATTTAGTTCGAGACTCACCCTCTGTGGCGCTAATGTCCTAGCAATCGTTGTGCAGCTGGTCAGCAGTTTCAGGCGGTTCATTCCTGCGCATTAACTGATATACTGAAACGCAATAGCTCTATATAAGACCAAAAGATACACTTAGAATTCATGGCATTCGTCATTCATGCACACAAACTTCACTTCTAAGCAACAAAATAACGCTTTTACAGCTTCAGTTGGAGGCAGTCTATAAAATTTTCATAAATCTCCTACACGAACACTTCGAATTCGCCCAATACCTTTAATTTTGTTTACGAATGGTTGCATTCAACGAAGTGTTATCAATCATATCGCTTCACAGCACCTCCGCCTTTCATATCAGACTGTTTCGACAATCAGTTTCGTTATCCCGTGTTAGTGATGTTACTGTCCAGGCCCAGCTATGCCAAGTCTTCGCTCTACCTTCGGCCTAGCTTGTCGGTATTGACTCTCCAGAAGCCCTCCGTGTGATCGCATATTTTCTCTGAGATATATTCTATTGTCGTCACTTATAATTACTTGCTTTGATCGATGCATTTATAGCATTTTTCTAATTTTTCACACTAATTTTTTCTAAATTTTTTAATATTTTTTATTTTTTTAATAAATTTTCTAAATTTTCTAATACTAAAAAATTTTTCTATTTTTTTCATGCTAATTTTTCCTGTTTTTCTAATCGTTAGCCGTAACACGCAGCTTACTGGCGACTTTTGCGTTTGTTTCATTTCCTGAAAGATTTACCAGCTCAACGATCTCTTGACAGAACAGTGGTTTTCTCAAGAGGTTTACAAAAGCTCGGCAAGATTTTAGTGATATTGAGATTTTCTTTGTATGTAATAAACACCACCAGGTCATCTCGAACATACCCACTCCTGGATCACGATGCGCCGTCTGGGAGATCATTCCACCTAGCTTCAAGGCATACGTGGGAAGTTTGCTTAACAACCGCTAACGATTTTATAGCAGTTATGTGGGAAAAATACATAAATGGGCTATGAAGTCGCCTTGTGTCACATTACGATAAATATATCGAAGAAATAATATCAATCAGTGGGACAGCAATAAATGGTCGAACCAAATGTGATCACATACAGCAAGAAATTTTCAAATATATTGTTGCATTCGAATATTTGTTTGATATTACGTGAAGAGATAATACCCTCCCCAAAAAAAATACCTTCCCCCTCCCCAAAAGAAAAAATGCCCTCTCCCTCCTCCCAAAAAAAACGGAACGGTACTGCCAGATACATCAGTGGCAAGAAGAAACGCGACGTTGAAGCAACAGGCGATCAAAGTACCAAGATTTCGCAGTGTTTTCTTGAAATTCCTACTCTTCGTACGTTAAAGTTACTCATTTTCATCTTTCTGTTCTTCCATTGAATGTATTAGTATTTTAAAGATACAAACAATGAATATTAGGAGACTGGAAGAGGGCTGGAGACTAAAATGGCCTGTGTGTTAACATATGCAGTTTGTTTGGCATTGCTGGTCCACCGTAAGGAGGAACACAGTCGAATTTTGATAATTAATGAAAACACTGGAAGTGCCATTTAGATCTCCCAAATAAGCAAGCCTGTACATACAGCGACAAAGCTTGTGTGTGAACGTCTTGTTTGCAAAAATGAATTTCAGGAGGTTACCAACTACTTTTAATTGTTTGGAAAATCAC